TCAGCCTCCCCGCGCTGCCCCGGAGCCTCCGCGCCGCGCGTCTTCCCCCTCCGCTCCCCGAGCCAGCGCTGTTGGTCCCGCCAGCCGGCCGCAGGATGCGTGCTTCGGGGCGCCCGGGGCTCTGAGACTCCCCCTCGGATACACACGTCTGGCCGTTGCTGTTGGATCGTGGGGTTTTTGTGGGAGGGGGTTGTTTTTTGGGGGGGGAGGATCTTTTTCTTTCTTTCTTTGAGGGGTGTGCTTTGGGGCTGTTACCCTGATGTAACTCCCTTCTCTTTTTTGGAATGATGGGGATCTTTTTGGCGTATGTTGGATTTGTTTTCTTTTCCGTCCTATATGTACAACAAGGGCTTTCTTCTCAAGGTAAGTCTGTGCTCACTAGGAAAAAAAAAGAATGTACATTTGCTTGTGGTGTGTGTGTGTGTGTGTGTGTGTGTGTGTGTGTGTGTGTGTGTGTGTGTTACACCCAACGAATGGACAGGCAGGGGTAGAGCCGGTTCCCAGCAAGTCGGATGAGGCTGTATGAATAGGGTTCTGTTTGGCTTTTTTTTTTAATTTCCCCTTTAAAGTTTATTTAATTGTAAAAGAGCTAGGGTTGAGGGGGAAAATCTCCATCTCAATTTCTCATTGCCAGTCAGTGCTTGGCCAGGAGTTGAGTTCCTCAGTGATCACCAACACAGGTGTGTGTGTGTGTGTGTGCAAGCACAGAGTAACCGCTCGTGCATACATAATCATCGCGAACACAAAGCTGGGTATAAGGGGGTGGGGGGGGGGGTTCCGCTGACAGTCCTCGTTTCCCATGCAGGCAGAATGGGCTCTAGGGTCTTCCTTTCCCTGGGTCCCTGTCTTCGTTTGTATGTGTGTTTATCTAAGGACCCCTAAAAAGATTGCACTTGCATTCATTACAAGCAGTGGGGGAGGGGGCGCCTGCTGAACCCGGACCCCAGTTGTTTGGGACCTCGCAGGCTGCAGTGACCTCTTCAGCACCACGAACAGATCACATCCCAGATGCCAGAAAACTGCATCACTTCGTTCGGCAGCACAAACGCCCTGCTCCGCCTTTCAGTGTGAGCACAAGAGTCCTTTGCAGATCAGACTGGCCCTCCTCATCGCTCCCATTTCCGTACAGCACCAGCACAGTGCCTCCGCTCCCGCCCCTCTTCCAACCCCGGAGGCTAGTTGTCATAAAATTCTAAAGAGATACTGATGGCAGCTATCTTTAAGAAGCTCCAGCAGCTGTGCCTCCACCCCAAATCATTCCTGCAGTGCCCCCAGCTCTCTCCGCCACATCCTTTTAGGGAACCATTAGCCCTTTGCAAAGTATCCCTGAGGCAAGATACACGCACAACCCAACCGTGTTGTTAGACGGATAAGAGTATTCCTGATTCACGAAATGCCTGCAAGGAAAACGGGGACATTTTATTTTTGTGAGTTTTTCTGTTTACATTAAATGTAAGGGAATCTTACAAACTAACAATGGTAAGGTTGGTAATGGAACAAATTTACAAATTCTCTGGGAGTGACTTTTAGATCATCTTTAATCCGAACTGAATCTGGGCATAAGATTGTGTTACATCCCAAGATATATGACAATTCAGTACACAATAGCATCATGGGAACATATGAGTTATACATGCATACACATACATACATGCATATTTGTAGGTATATTTAGCTCACCAAGTGTGCAATTTGTTTCACAACTATTTGGGGAACATAGTGGCTAACCACTGTTTTTGATAAATCAGGAATGTGCATTTTGACAGATAATCATAATCCACTCTGCAACACAAACCCTCCAGTTAGTCATAGATTGTTTAGCGACTTAGAGGCAAGAAGCTTTCCTCGTATATCAACTTGACAGATGGTCTAAATTGTACCTCACTGAATCTCCCCCCAGTAAGTTTTGCAGAATACTGCAATCTGACAAAAGGTGTTTGGATCTAACTCTGGGCAGCTTTGGCCAAGAGAGTTATTGGCAAGCTTGTTAACCTTTCCATTATCTGGACTTGATCATCAACAAAGTGATTGAGGCATGATACCAAAAATAAGACAAGCAAAATGCAAAGGACGGGAGGGGGAAGCCCAAACAATCAAGAATGTCATCCAGGGGTTGTTGTTGCTAGTTTATTTCTGCATTTTGTTTGGTTTTGTGTTTTCCTTTTAAGTCCGACAGTGTCGAGAGGGATGCAGATGTGCCAAAAGCATGCACTTTTGTTTTGCAGCAAAATTTACTGAGTTTCCGAGGAACGTGACGGCAACCGAGGGGCAGAATGTGGAGATGTCGTGCGCATTCCAGAGCGGCTCAGCCTCGGTCTACCTGGAGATCCAGTGGTGGTTCCTGGGAGGACCCGAGGACCTAGAGCCTGGGACTGAGGCAGCCGGAGCACAGGTAGTGCAACCCAATAGTCTACAGGGCCCCTAGGCCTGTCCCACTCGATCTTCAGTGCTCTGGGTGTCCAATCAAGATCCACTGCCCAAGATACTGCCCTGTGAGCCCCCTAGGGACGCCCCTTGGCTCATCGATAATGAGCAACACCCAGGGATATTAAAGAGTGAGCCTGGATTTGTCCTGGGGACAGTAAGCCAAAACCACCAGGAAAGTCAACCCTTTGGGCTTTTCTTGGTTCCCTCTGGGCATGGTCTCCTGCTCCACTACTAGTATTGATTATCATTAAGATGTCCAGGATGGCACTACTTTCACAGACAGCAGGGTGGGAGAAGGGAAGCTTCTAGGTGTCCCCACCCTGCTCCTCTCTCTCTTCTAGGCCAGTCCTTCGAATCTTATCCTTGAATAGGGGAGTTGGGGTGGATTGAGGAAAGGAGAATGTAGGAAAGAGGGAGAAGGAAGAGGAGGGAAGAGAGGAGTAGAGATGAAGGCAAAGGGAAAGGGAAAAGCAGGGGAAGGGAGAGGAAGAGAGAGGAGAGGAGAAGGGAGGGGGGAGAAAAGAAAATGAGGAGAGGAGAGGGAAGAGAAGAGATATGGGGAGGGAAAGGAAAGAAGGGAGGGGAGAAAAGAGAGACAAGAGGCTGTAGACAGGAGAGGAAATGGGAAGGGAGAGAGAAGAGGAGGTGGGGAAAGGAGAAGGGAAACGGGTGAAGCTGAGCTGGAGAGGGTGAGGACACACAGCGGAGACATTTGGAGCAAGAGCCTGATGTAACATAGAAGAGGAAAAGTCCGTGGAAGAGCCCCCACAAAAAGACAGAAATTGGCTGGTGAAAACTTTCACCCGCACTCCCGCCCCACCCACCTTTGCGTCTGTCTGTCCCTACCCTTGCTGCAACTCGCAGTCCTGATCGGACTAGAAGGAAGACTGAAAACACCCAGCCCCGTCTCGGCTGGGGTGCTGGGGTGCCAGGCACAGAGACTACAGGAATTGGGGAGGAGGTGCGGGGTGTGCATGAGGGAACAGGAGACAGCAAGGCTTAGGGCAGTGCCAACGGATTCGAGGTGGATGAGGCCGCGTTCCTTCTCTTTCTGATTCTTATGTCAGTGTCACCCCAACAAAGGCTGGGTCTTGCCTGGCAGGCTGAGAGCTGAGCTGAGGTGCCATGCGCCAGGAACTCCCGGGCTGCCGGAGAACTTAAGCATTTGCATCCTTGTCCCGCAGGTGGAGCTCTTACCCGACAGAGACCCGGACAACGAAGGGACCAAGATCAGTGTGAGTGTCACAGGGACTGGCCAGGGGCCAGGGCAAATGCCCCAGTGAGCGTCCATTAATAGCCAGGGGATTTTAGGGGTCAACGCCTTTGAATTTATTTTCCCTGAAGAGGGCAATTTTGCAAATGCGAGGGGACACCCGGCTGTCTTTTGCTTACTTCGTTAGGTACATTAAAAATGGAAGGAAATGGAGAGTCCAATGCATAAAATTACATTTTAAGCGTGTAAATAGGTCTCTAAGGGGGCTAGAGACATATTTTTGCTATCCTAGGAGGTTGTATGATTCTCCTCTTGTTTTTGTACCCGTCACATAAACGTGAGTGACCGATTGCAATGTTGAGATCCATTCAGCATTATGGAAATAATTATTCTTTAATAGGAAGCCGAATAGCAGTATACAAAAATTCCTACGAAGGAAAACATAAGCAGTAACTGGATTTTGAAACTGTGATTCAATAAAGGGGTTCAATTTTAGGTGTCATTCACAGTGCAATTAATGTATTTCTAATGCTGATGTTCAAAATTACAAAAAGATGAAAGTAACTACACATCCAAATCCTTTAGGAAAATCAGTTGACTTACTGGAAATATTAAATGTAGTTCTACCTTTGGCTATGACGTTTAGTAAATTTTTTTTTGTAAAATGAGGGACACAATGTTTTATTACTATACCTTAAATGAAGCCAGGTAGAGTCATTTTATATTAATAATCTTGATTAGTAAAGGTATTTTAACTCCTGGAAATAAAATAAATAATTATATAATGCAAAAGGAGGAAATCTGTCGAACATGAATATGTTATTTATATTTGGTCATTGAAATTTAAAAATCTGACATCTGTCTACATTCCAAAAGGAAATTTATATTGAAACTCTTATACTAACTTAAGAGTACAAACATATAAAATTGGGATTCCATAACTAAAAGTGTAAAAACACACTGTACACAGAATCAAAATCTGCTTTGAATGTGTAATCTCAACAAGGAAGAAGTTTCAAAAAAGATAAAAATACAAGCCAGAAACTCCTATTTATAACTCACCAAATCACCAGCTTTTCAAGATATCTCATTTTGAATTATTCTTGTATCAGATATGGTCATTTTTATCCAACATTATATTGGTAAAGTCAAATAACTGCTTTCCATAAGTACTTCATTGGGATTTTTTGCATGCACATATAGATATAGTTGGACACATTGCTGGTTGAATAGGCAATGTTTACATTCTGCCCATGTCTATCATAGGTCTGCCCAGTGACAGACCTATGAAACCACAGACATATGATGTACAGAAGTTCTAACACATGAGCTGTGGCATGATTTCTAAAATGCAGCAAGATTAAAACAGTTCTGCATACAAACTGAGACAGAATATAGTTCATCTCCAGTGTGCCCACTGAGTAACCTTGAACATATTTCCTAATTATTAACTTAGAGCTCCTGAGGAACTTTTTATAAGATACCAATAAGGTCATACCCCTTTCATATGAAGATTCAAATATCTCTGCATTAAGCTGAGCAGAAATGATTTTTTAACAACTATCATATGACTCAAATGTACAGTCAGTGTTGAGAATCACTGGCTCAAACCTTCTAAGCTTCAATCTATTGTAAAATGAGGTAATAATATCAGAAGTACTCTGATTACCTTAAACTTTACAGGAGTGTTAACCCAGACGATATGTTGACTTGACTTCTAGCATAGCATTAGTAGATTTATGTGTAATTCTGCATCCACATAAATAATTATGGAGGTGGTCCAAATCTTAGAGTCTGTTTGTTACACACCTATACACATCTCTATATGTAAAAAAAAAACAATGAATGCTTCTCAGATATTTGTAATCATATATGGCCATTTGAAACTCTTGTCAGAATAAGTATAAAAATAAGTACATTCCTACCTCATACTTCATTGGCTTTCTCTTTCAAATTCAACCAAATCTATAAGTTCTGAATGTCTAATGAAATCTATCTTTCTGTCAATAATAGCATATGAGATAAATATGTTGTGATGATACATATATATTACATTGTATACTCATTATATATTAGATAATTATCTTGTCATTAACCTGTGATTCAAATTATTGGAAGAAATTAAAAAATCAACTTCAATTTTGAAAAATCAAAAGAGGCTGTCCCAAATTCCTGTGATAGCTTGGGGTAAATGCTCTGAGCTGTAAGAATTCAGCTATAGAATTATCTGTACCTGAGCCCTGCCATTTAATGACTACAGATCGGCTGCATCAAAAGTCTAAAAAGGAAACAAGAAGTTGGTGGCTCAGGCCTATAATCCTAATTACTCTGGAGACTGAGATATGTGGATCCTGTTTCAAAGTTATCCTAGGCAGAAAAATCAGTGAGATTCTAACCTCCAAGTAATCAGCTAAAACCCAGACAGGAGGCATGTATCAAGGGGTAAAGCACTATCCTTGAGAGAAAAAGCCAAATGAGAATGAAAGTCCTTTGAATTCAAGCCCCAATACTTGTGCACATGCATGCACACACGTGCGTGTGCACACACACACACACACACACACAAGTTTGAGAAGGAAAATGCTAATATCCAATTCTTTCTTAACTGTACCTTTAGTAGTCATCTCAATGTAAAGATAAAGAACAGCCCTACCTAATCTGTTAAGACTAATAAAATAATGTAATCTCTCACATTTGAGGGAGGAATTCGTTTACAGTCTCCAGTGAAGAAAATTCTCTATCAGTTGTACAATGGGCCTGGCTGGTACATTCAGCTGAGTTAACCAGGCAGAGGCCAATCTCATGACAAGAAAGGGTTATTACTGGGATCTGGGAAACACTGACTGCCTGGTTGCTTGGCACTTGCTGAATTGATCTCATTATCCCCATAGATTGAATGTAATATAACAAGTAAGATAAATAAGACCTTCATATCTGACATTAAAGATATAGAAAGACCTTGACAGTGTCCATGACACCAAAAACCCCTTTGACTTTCCAACAGTAGCAAGCTCAGGATAAACAAGGGGAACACAATGATTTGATGTAGCATTTTATTCTTTTTTCCCTGCAATTTTCCAGACAGTGAAAGTCCAAGGCAATGACATCTCCCACAAGCTTCAGATTTCAAAAGTGAGGAAAAAGGATGAAGGTTTATATGAATGCAGGGTGACTGACGCCAATTACGGGGAGCTGCAAGAACACAAGGCCCAGGCCTACCTGAAAGTGAATGCCAACAGCCATGCTCGGAGAATGCAGGCCTTTGAAGCCTCGCCCATGTGGCTGCAAGATATGAAACCTCGCAAGAACGTGTCCGCAGCAATCCCCAGCCGCACCCACAGCTCTGCCAACCAACGAACGCACTCCACCTCCAGCCCTCAAGCGGTAGCCAAAATCCCCAAACAAAGTCCACAATCAGGTATGGAAAGCCATTTTGAGCCTTTCGTTTGGTCACTCACAAACTCTCCACAGAAAGTTCAGTGAAATAGAGTAGACACGTTTGCATTTGATGGCTTTTAAGATGAAATAAGGAGACCCGAGCCATGCAGAGCGCAAGGCTGGCCCGCTCAGAGGATGTGTTTGCCCCATTAGTCCCTGGCAAGTGCTTCTCACTCAGGAGATCTAAGAGCTGGACTCTTTTGTTCTTTCGGTATTTATACTTTATAAGAACAATAAATCATGTGATGTTGGTTACATTATAAATGCATGTTCATTCTCTCTGCAGATTTATGTATCAATAATGACCTAAATTAAGAGCCTTTTACTTAATCAAAATGGAAATGAAAGAGTCACCACCACATCATGCACATTTTTAGCAACCCATCACTTTTAGCAGGACTATTCTCCAAGGGCTTTTAATTTTGGAGCAGGAACTTCAGCTGCCTGTGTTGAAATTAATGAGGATGCTGAGAGGAAGTGAGAAGGGATGAAAGGCAGGGAGTGGTGCAGAGATAAAGCAACTCCTGTTGATGTGCCTGGGACTTCGATTTGGAACCTAAGTCACATTTCCTAGATCAGCTGTGCAAGTTAAAGCAGGTCTCCTTGGCGGCATTGATTTATACAATCACTTGGCCAATGGGAGCTCACTGACGTTTTAACCTTGATGTGCGCTAAAGGCTGCTTGGAACCGGCAGTCTTCTATGGGGCCCTATACAAACAGATTTAAAAAGTTATAGGCTAAAGGAAGTGTGAAAGCATTTAACTCACGATCCTTTAAGGTTTACCTTTTGTACTAGTACATCATTGAAGAATTATATAGATACTACGGTTGGTAACAGAAGATTATTTTGCAGATATTCAGAGTGTCTTCAGCTATTAAAAAAATTGACCATCTCACTGGGTTATACCGGCTTATCCATCCAACCAGTCATCCACCCCCAAACCCATACGTATACATCTCAAAAATCATCCTAATCAATATTTATTTGATATATATGGAATGTATACATTTATACATAGACATATATGTCTTTACATTCTTGCTTATGGACAAAGCTTTCCTAAAGTGTATGTCACGACTATGGGTAGAATTCACTGTTACAGCATTTCCTTCAGTTTGCTGAGGCATTCAGTTTAATCCAAGCATGGCAAAAAAAAAAAATGAATACCTAAATAAAATAAACTAATGTTTGTCAACATAGATTAACTCTTTATGCTTTTTCCTCTAAAGGGTGTGATTTGTAGGTTTGACAGGGTGCTGGATGTGGTCCCCAAGAGCTTGCATTAACTTTCATGTGGACCGGCAGTTCTCCATCCTGCCTTGGACCTGGCAATGTCTCAGTCTGAGCCTCTCACAAGTCCAGTTTGCTTGTTTCTTGTTTTTTCTTTTCTCTTCTCCTTCCTTTTTTCTTTAAATTTTGGTTTGGTTTTTATGAAGAGTGGTCCTAAGTGCTCTCCCTTAGCTTTTACTGCTCAAGTCTAGCCACAGTTCTATTTCTGGTTTCTTGGTGGGTAATTGGAAATAAAAGTCTCAGGGACTCTCCTTCCCAGGGTGGCTTTGAAGCATGATCTTCAGATCTCAGCTTCCTGAGTAGCTAAGGTTATAGGCATGAGTCAACCAACACCCAGCAGATTTTGTCTTATTCTCCTTATCACCTCCTTTTTCCACAAATTAAAAAAAAACACCAGAGCTAGCAATGATTTTATTGTTTATAAAGTTATATATAGTTATTCCTACCTCCATTACAATTCTGTAACCACTGTTTGATAAGGATTTGATGTCTTGAAATCTTCTGTATCTCTTTTTCAAGCTACCAAATTAAAAAAAGCAGCTAGAAGCTACATGAAGAATTATAGAGTGGCCTCCACCAAGAATTTACTACCTAATTAGTTAGGACTCCAAATCATAGAAGTGAAATTATTAGCCTGCATTGAATATTCTAAGCTAAAGAACATAAATCCTTTCTGTGGAATAAAATCGAAGAGCGGACCTATTCCAAATGAAAGAATCTAATCATAGAATGAAACATTTTGTTTCTAAAATGTTTTCTTTACCTCTGCGATTAAACAATGTAGTATAAAAGTATACTGCATTTTAACATATTTTTTAGAGAATGGATTTCAATGATAAACTCTAGAAATCCTCAGACAGTTTTCAACCTCAAGTTATGACTTGGTTTCTATCTCCCAGCTTGCTTTACTCTTATGGACAACACTGTTTTCTTTCTAGATTTTACAGTCAAAGGAGAAAAGGAATGCTTTCTCATGGAAATCCTTTAAAAATCTTTTGCACTGAAACTTAGTATGCTCAGAACAATTAATAATTTGGAATATCTCAAAATATTTAATATTTTCCTTTCCACCAGTGGATACTGTAAAACATTTTGTCTCCCTTAATCAAAACTCTGAAAACTCTCTTTCAGAAGCAGTTATTCATTCTCTGCTTGCAAATTATCACATATAATACAGTACCTGGGATAAACATTTATATATCATATTTAATAGATACCCATATTTTGCTTTATATCTTCACACTACATTCATTGTAATATTCATATCTGGCTTTCTAGTTATATATTACGCTCACTTCCATACTAAGATCCTGCTTTATAATTTTGCTTTACAAGTTTCCATATTATATTCAAATAAACTTATTTTGATGCCCATGCTTCATTTATTCATTCATTTCTTCATTCTCCAACCTGTTAGGAGCTTATATATGAGACCCAGAGACAGAAAAATGGAAGATATTTATTTTCTTCCAGGGGTTTATATTTTTAGTTTGTGAGAAGACAAAATGTTTGTGAATTCTATAAATCATACTTTTGTAACTCTATTAGAAGCAAGACATGGTGTGGATATAAAAATTAATATGTTCAGCGTTCTTCTTCATGGCTTTCACTTTCTGCACCTAGTTTTTGTCTAGTTAACTCATGGACTTTTCTGCCCAGGTTGGCTTTGAACTGTGATTTTCCAGATCTCAATCTCCTGTAGGTAGGATTACAGATATAATCGGTGACCAGCTCACATTATAATACTGCGTCATTAAAAAGTGACCTAGGGAAGTGGCGTTGTGTCCCAAGCAGTAGAGTGCTCACCTTGAGCACTCGCCTTAAGCTGAAGAGAGTAGGGACAGCGCCAAGGCCCAGAGTTCAAGCCCCACGATCGACACACACAAAAAAAGTGATCTACTTGGCTTTTTCTTTTTATCATATTTTTCACATAGTTGACTATTAAGACTAACACACTCGATTCTAAACTCATACTATTTTCCTGTCAAGTAATTTACTTGCCTAGCAAAGAAAAATATTAGCTGAAAATAACTTCACATAGAATTTTCAAATTGCCATAAATTAATTAAAATATCTCCTCTAAAACAAATAGATCATCTATGACCTATATTATCACAAGAAAGATTAAACTATCATTTAATATGTTTCATGCTCTTTTTTTACATTTTTCTCCAATAATATGCATGTGAATATCTCCTCCTTCATGGAACTATTTCATTTATCTTTATACATTCCTTCATAAATGGAAAATAATTATAAATTTTTAGCTTTTAAAAACACGTCTATTTCCTTCTACTTCCACTTTGTCACCAATAATTACAACCAAAATAATGAAGAAAAATAGTAAAGCAGAAGATAAATAAAACTTGGCTTTCATAAGTTTCTTGTTCCCAAGTTTTTGAACTCTCTCCAGATACACCTTGATTCCTCCTTTGTTTTTATTAGCAAATACTTAAAGCTTAGGAAGACAAAGAAGTGTGGGGTTTGTTGTTGTTGTCGTTGTTGTTGTTTCTGCTTGTTTTATTTTTTTGTCATGGGGCTTGAACTACGGCCTGGATGCTCTTCTGAAGGAGTAATGATTTGAAAAAATATATAAGAGAAAAAGTAAATTGCATGCAATAAAGCCAAAAATAAAATTCAGTGAGTTTTAGATCTGTACAAATAGTTATCCTAAAGAGACCACTCAGTTTACATTCTCTTCTGGGAATTCAGAGCTACAGAAATGTAGTAAAGGTTGAATAACTCGATCTTGCAAAATTAAAAATACATGTGTGTGTATAAGTGTGTGTTTCTGACACATTTTACCATAATGATATCATAAACTATATTTTAGCTATATACCAACATTTATATTTTAGCTATATACCAACATTTAAAGGAAACACAAAACAAGTAAAGTAAAATTCATTTAAAATGATCCACAAACTGTATTATTCCATAGCCTTAATACAGGGAGATAATACACAAACTTCTTGGAGACCTAAAGTACTGCACAAATATGAGGTATTATGAAGCATCATACTTTATATGGAAAGATAAAATTAATGTATTGCAAATGCAATTTTATCTTTTATATGACCATGGCTATACATTTGTGGTACAAATAAAGGTATTATTCTTTCTCTGTGGAAAATAAAATAAAAAGGATATGTGGGAAAGCCAGACATGGAAATAGAAGCTAAAGAAATGTTCTGTACATATTCTGGGGAGTAGGAATCCCCAATTCTAGCTTCTTGGCTGAGACAAGGAGAAAGAAGAATCTTGATAGTCATGAGTTCAGCTGGATATAGGAAGTCCCAGGATATCTACCAGTATGAGATGAGTTAGTTGGCTTTACACAGTGAGCTTGGAGACCTTCAGTGACAGCCCCCAAATATTTTCTACTTGTTTCTTTCTCTCTTATTGAAGATCCCCAGTTGTTTCAGAAGCTGTATTTCTCCTCCATAGACCTCTGCTCTTTGGCTATTCTTCTACTCAGAAACAAGCTAACAATGCTGAGAGCATGGTTACATAATGCTTTCTCCATCTCCATCTGGTTGAGTCAGAATCAGGGTGTATATGTCCCCTCCTCCCCCAAGAGAGGCCACATGGTGTTCTGTTGCTCCTTCTTTGTGTCCCAGTCTCACGACATTTCTCTCTGGTTTGTCCAAGGCAATTGTTCTCCTTCAAGTCACTGGAGTCTACTAAA